CTCGCCCAGGCGAGGCAACTCTCGCTCAAGCGAGAAACTTCCAGTATAACCCAGGATTTCACCCTCCCATGTGATCCTTTCTCGCTCAGGCGAGAATCTCTCGCTCAAGCGAGACTTCCAGGACTGATACTATAATTTTAAAGACTAAAATTCGGGGTGTTACACAGCCTCTAGGCTTTGTGATAGAAGGAAGTGCGCACAAGGTGTACAAGCTAAGAAAAGCCTTGTATGGCTTAAGGCAAGCACCAAGGATTTGGAATAAGAGAATTGACTCATTCTTATCAAGATCAGGGTTTAAGAAGGGTGATGTTAAGAATGGAGTGTACTTCAAGACAATGATCAACAATGACACACTCATCATCTACCTATATGTAGATGACTTGCTAATCACTGGCAACAAGGCAAGTGGGATTGAAGAGGTGAAACTCAAGCTGAAATCAGAATTCGAGATGACTAATATGGGAAAGTTTGCATACTTTCTTGGCATTGAATTCACTCAAGTCAATGAGGGAATCTTGATGCACCAAAGGAAGTATATTCATGATGCCTTGGTAAAGTTCAAGATGTTGGATTGCAATGCAGCAGAGACACCAGCAGAGGTGAATCTGAAGCTAGATAGGGGTGAGAATGAAGATGCAGTGAACAACACCTTGTATAGACAAATGGTTGGTTGTTTGAGGTTTGTGTGCCACACAAGAGGATCCTAAGATACTTGAAAGGCACAAGCAACCTTGGGATTCTATTCTCAAATCAGCCATCAAAAAGCAACCTGCAACTTGTAGCATACTCTGACTCGGATTGGAGTGGTGACATGCTTGAAAGGAAGATTACTATGGGCTATGTTTTGATGGAACAATAGAGCTGCAAGTTGACAAAAAATTTGCTATCAATCTTGCTAAAAACCTAGTTGCACATGGGAGAAGCAAGCATATTGAAAGGAAATACCATTTCCTTAGAGATCAAGTTGAAAAAGGAAAGATCAACTTGAAGCATTGCAAAACAGAATTTCAAGTGGCAGATGTGATGACAAAGCCACTCAAAATAGAAAGATTTAGAGATTTGTCTAAGAAACCAGAGAAGAAAATAATTGATAGAAATTTTATTTGATTTTCTACATAATCATAAGTGAGTCAAGCTCAAATAAATAGTTATAAAGAATCATCCCTATTAAAACAGAATCGTAACTATCAATTAGTTATTAAGGCAGAATCATAATTAAGGTAGAATCATAACTATCAATAAATTAGCTATTAAAAACATAATCATTGCTATCATTAAAGCTCCTCATATTTCAGCTAATTTCCAACTCATATATTAACTATTCTGATATGCCCCCCTCAAGTGGGACTATGTATATTGGAAATGCCCAACTTGGACATAATATTCTGATGGGAAGTGGTGGCTAGAGGTTTTGTTAAACCATCAGCCAACTGAGCAGCGGAAGAAACTGACAATAGATGTATGAGACCCACATGACAATCTATTTCAATGTGTTTGCTCCGTTCATGAAAAGCTGGATTATGTGCAAGATATATGGCAGATTTATTGTCACAGTAAATAGAAACTGACTTGGTTAAAAACATAGAGAAATCATGAAGCAAATATGTTAGCCATTGGATTTCACAAGTTAGAGATGTTAGTGCATGATACTCGGCTTCTGTTGAGGAACGTGATATTATGGATTGTTTCTTTGATTTCCAAGAAATCAAAGAACTTCCAATGAAGACACAATATCCTGTGATGGATTTGCGTGTATCCAAACTACTAGCCCAATCTGAATCAGCAAAGCCAGTGAGATGGAGATCAGATGATGCTTTGAAGAACAAACCCGTTGCAGGAGACAATTTCAAGTACTTCAATACACGAATGGCAGCATTAAAATGAGGGACTCGAGGAGCAGAAATAAAATGACTAAGCTATTGAACAGCAAAGCTTATGTCAGGTCTTGTTGTGGTTAAATATAATAATCTACCAACTAATATTCTATAAGAAGAAGGATTTGATAGTAGTTCACCTTGATAAGCTTGCAATTTCCCCTGAAGGTATACAATGGGTGGTTCAGGTTTAGCTCCTAATTGACCAGAATCTTCAAGAAGCTCAAGTGTGTATTTTCTCTGATTAATAAAGATTCCAACTTTAGTTCTAGCTATTTCCAGACCAAGGAAATACCTCAAAGATCCTAGGTCTTTGATTTTAAATTTAGCATCCAAGAATTGCTTAACAGATTCAATCTCAGCCATACAATTTCCACCTAAAACAATGTCATCCACATAGTTAAAAGGGCAGTAAAATGATCACCAGAACGCTTCAGAAATAAGGAATGATTTGCATTAGATTGAACATAGCCAAACGACACTAGAGCAGAAGACAACTTTGAATACCATTGCCTACTAGCCTATTTTAAACCATAAAGAGACTTATGAAGTTGGCAAACCTTGGTGGAATCTCCATGAAATCCTGGTGGAAGAGTCATATAAATTTCTTCATTCAAATCCCCATGGAGAAACGCATTGTTAACATCCAATTGTTGAAGGATCCATCCTTTAGAAGCAGCTAAAGCAAGAAGTAGTCTGAATGTAGTCAATTTTAGGACTGGACTAAAAGTGTCAAAGTAATCAACACCCTCAATTTGTGTGAATCCCTTAGCAACCAATCTTGCCTTATACCTCTCAATAGTCTCATTGGCATGATATTTGACTTTATAAACCCATTTGCAATCTATAGGAATTTTTCCAGATGGGAGATCAACTACGGACCAAGTTCCATTATCCTCAAGAGCCTTAATCTCAGTTCTCATTGCATCCTTCCAACACTGCATTTTAGAGGCTTGTGCAAAAGTCTTAGGTTCAGGGTTAGAAGAAGCAATGAGACAAAAATGTTTATAAGATGGTGTACAATTGGCATAAGATAAAACATAAGAGAGGGTAAGGAGTACCTAGAGAATGAGTGGATGAGTTGGCCTTGACTAGGTTGCAGTGATAATCCTTTAAGTAACTGGGCTTGTGAGCTACTCTTGTTGATGTTTTGGTAGGCAAAGGGGGATTATGTAAAGGTATGGTATTATCAATAGGCAAAGTGGGTGATGACTCAATAGGTTCAATATTAGCCATTGGAGGTATAGGAAATGAATCATCAGATAATAGTGAAAATGACTGCAGAGATAGGAAAGTGTTTGATGAAGGAGTTTTTGTAATTGAAGAAAAAGGATAGACATGCTCATAAAAAATTACATTTCTAGAGACATACAACTCATTGGAGTTTAAATCATAGAGAATATAACCTTTGACACATTCCTTATAACCTAGAAAAGCAGATTTTCTTGCTCTATGCTGAAATTTGGTTCTATTAGCTAAAATGGTTGATGCAAAAGAAAGACAACCAAAATCTTTGAGGTGATAAAGAGTAGGTAGTTTACTAAAAAGGATGTGATAAGGTGATTTGTGTTGTAAAAGTGGTGAAGGTATTCTATTTATCAAATGGACAGCATGAGTGACAGAAAAATTCCAAAGATTAGGTGGCAAAGAGGTTTGAAATTATAAGGATCTTGCAACATTTAGAATATGTTGATGTTTCCTCTCAACAACACCATTTTGTTGAGGGGTTTTAATGCAAGTCCTTTGATGTAAAATTCCTTTGGAATGATATAAATCATGCATAAGGAACTCACCTCCATTGTCACTTCTTATACACTTGAGTTTGGTATTAAATTGTGTTTCTATGTAAGCAATGAATTGAGTTAAATGTTGTCTAGTTTCAGATTTTGCTTTCATGAGAATCACTCAAGTAAACCTAGAAAAATCATCAACAAGTGTAAGGAAAAATCTATGGCCATGTATGGAGGGAACTGAATAAGGACCCCATATGTCAACATGCAACAAGTCAAAAAATTTATTTGAATGTGAATCACTTTGACAGTAAGGAAGTTTCTTTTGTCTAAAGAGATGACAAATATCACAAGGACGTATACTAGAAAATGGAATAAAAGGAAATTGTTGAGTGACTACTTTAAACCTAGAAGTTGATATATGACCCAATCTTAAATGCCAAAGAATAGACTGATTTGATGTAGTCGCACTTGAACTTGATTTTGCACCTTGTATCACATACAACTCATTACAAAGTTCAGTTGTACCAATCATTCTTTTGGTAGATATCTGTACAATGTAACACATTTTGTTATTGACAATAAGATGACATTGTTGAGAACTAAGTAATTTAGTAACAGAAATCAAATTAACAGTAAAGGTAGGTACGAAGAGAACATAACTAAGTGTCAAAGTACAACTTAATGAGACACTTCCTGCCATAGTTGTAGTAACTAGGGTACCATTAGGCAAAGCTATGGAAATAGGATCAATTTTATGATAAGAGATATAATTATCAATATGAAATGTTATATGGTCTGTGACATCTGTATCAAGAATCCATTGTGATTGCAACTTACCTCCCATGTCATGTTGTGAGGAGTTAACTTGAGAAATTGCAGTATTATCATTATGAGAATATGACATTGATCGTTCTGATACCATCTAAGAAACCAGAGAAGAAAATAATTGATAGAAATTGTATTTGATTTTCTACATAATCATAAGTGAGTCAAACTCAAATAAATAGTTACAGAGAATCATCCCTATTAAAACAGAATCGTAGCTATCAATTAGCTATTAAGGCAGAATCATAATTAAGGTAAAATCATAACTATCAATAAATTAACTATTAAAAACATAATTATGGCTATCATTAAAGCTCCCCATATTTCAGCTAATTTTCAACTCATACATTAACTATTCTGAAAATTTGAGAAGACTTTTGAATGTTGTAAAATGTAGTTTATAGTATAAATTAAGTGGGAGTGTTAGAAATGTAATCCATACTATAATAGAATGTAGTTAAAGGTGGTTAGAAGTGAAGTGGTATAAATAAGTGTATGACTCTTATTGATTTTCAATGCATATGCAATATACAATTCATTCACTTGCTTTCTCTCTAATACTCTCTAATCCTCTCTAAGCACATAGCTTCTTCTTCTCTCTGTTTTCTTCAACTCACACTTCCTTCTCCAACAATTCCTGCTTACACTGTTGGGGCAGAGATTGAGCAACTTCAGTGGTCGTCTTCTCAGCCGGAATGGCATTGGGTTTCCATTACTTTCTCCATGAAGCTTCAGATTCTGAGGGTGTGAATGTTCTATTGCTTTGCAATGTCTTGGTTGCAGATCATGGAAGGTGGAAGATGGAAAGTATAGTTGGGTGAGTGTTGGCACAATGATCTTCCATTCTCTGGTCAGTTTGAGGATATTGTCTCTCATGCTTTGATACTTATTAGAACCTTGTCCATTTACTATGCAATCATTTGTAAAAAAAAAATATGCAATATCCATTATTACATAATTGAACTGAGGCAGATTATGCTTTAATCCCTTCGCATGCAAAATATTACAAATTTTAAATAAAGGAGATTTATCACCCACTTTACCTACTCCAACCACTTTTTCTTTCTAGTTTCTACCAAAGGTCATGTATCAACCTTCTTTAGGTTACAAGCACATGAACATAGACTTTCTTCATGTATGTGTCATGACCATCTATTGTCCAAATATCATATCTGGTGTGTCTTTTGTTTTGTTAGTGTGAGAGGTGTGTGAAGACTTTATCTTAAGAAGGCACTTAGACATGACATGTCTAGTTTTTTCCATAAATGATTACAGACATGTCTAATAAAAGTAGTTTGTCAACTGTCATAGTTGGCTTCTTATGATGGTATAGTCAATCCCTTTATTGTTTAAAGAATGCCTTTGGCATCCTAAAATCTTAGTCAAATTTTTATGTGCAGTTCACTATGTGGAAGTAGTTGTAAGTTTTGTTAATATTTTTCGAAATTTTATTTTACTTCTTGTTTTGTTTTTTATTACTTTATTAGGGTGTACCATCCAATAGTGTATTGCGCCAGTGCATATAGCACAACAAATTGTGCCAACATGCAACCCAATCCATGAGGAAGAGTAAGCACAAGTACTAGACTATACTTGTCAGATATAGTTTTCATGTATAACAAATTATATATAATACATATCTAGTACAGTAAACCATATTTAGTATTTATTCTAATATAATTACATTGTTTCTTTGATTGTTTATAGTTATATTTAGCATTTGAAGACTTGAAAGCAATTCTATTAATTATATTATATGTGTTTGATTTAATAATTCGATTCAAATATGATTATAATAAAGTGGTGGTCCAATTTAGATGCAATAAACACATTGTTTAGACAAAATCTATATACTATATGTGAAGTATAAGATGTAATATTAATTTTCATTAAAAATATTATTAATGTTAGTCTGTCAAATATAAAATCCTTACCAAATTAAAATAAATAAAATCAATTTAGGATCTTCAATTATAGGTGCATCTTTGTTTTCAAGGAAATAACATTGGTATACAGGTAATTAAGGCAAGCAAATATTATTAAAAACAAATGTCTCAGCCAATATAAACCTAACTGTAAAAAGCAAATATAAACCTAACCGGAAAAAAACAAAACAACTGGATGAGTTTTAGATAAATTATATAAACTATCCACACATTTTTAAAACCAACACAAACCACCCGTAATTATATATATACATTACACTAACTACAACTATAAGAGACATAAATGTAATTTCTTAAACAAAAAATGACGACAAATGTAATTAAATCAAATAAAATAGGGAACATTATGAAGACAAGCCCAAATAGCATAAGAATCGATGTCTATTCATTATTTTGATTAGTTATAATATAATATAAAAGTAATTTGAACATCTCCTTAGCATTATTAATGCAGTTTGTAACGAATAAAAAATAATGAATATTCATCGAATTTTATACTATTTGGACTTATCTTCATAATGTACCATATTTTATTTGATTTAATTATATTCGTTGTCGTTTTTTGTTTAAGAAATTATATTTATCTCTTTTACATGGGTAGCCAGTGTAATATATATATATATAATTATGGGTGATTTGCATAGGTTTTAAAAATGTGCGATGATTTCTATAATTTCATTAAAATTCAGAGTGTGTCAGTGTAATTTACTCAAAAACAAATATAAACCTTTGGGGGCAATGCATTCCCAAGCAATATGCAGTTGTCATCCATAATAAGGATTTTTTATATTGAATTGGGACAATCCTTCTTTGCATCCCTAATAAACATATTATTATTTGTGAGACCACAAATCATACCCTTCATTCAAATTTCAAAATACAAGGGGTTTCTCTTGTAGCAATGATAATATGGACCGTCCTCCCTTTTATTTCGCACTCCCAAAATGCCCTTAAACAGTAGCATTTTAATAGTAAAAACGCATTTTTTCGTGTATGTGTTCGGTTTGAGGAGGTAGGAATTTGGACCTTTGGGAGTTACACTTACATTTGGTTCGGCCATTTGGGCCTTTGGGGTTGTGAACCTAGTGCCTGTTGCTCTAGATCTTCTGCGTGCCAAGTTATTTTTTAAATGATACCCTGTCACTCCCACTTTAGGTTATGTTTGGGAAAGGAAATAAGAGAGATCAAACTAGAAGGAAGTGAATGAAAAAAAAGATAATTCTCTCATTTGTTTTGGTGGAAGTATGAAATTTAGAGGAGAAGGATAAACTAATGATAATGTTAGAATATTTTTTATTTTTTCTTTAAAAATATAATTAACAATAAGAAATGAACAATAATATATAATTTTACTAAAAATGTTTACGTATTTTTACATTTTGTCTCTAGAAAAACCTCAAATTGGACGAACTAAATAGTCATATAGAGAGTCTTAGAGGGTTTGAGAAACCTCGAAAACTTTCCTCTCTCTTTCATCCAACTCCTAAATAAGGGAAGACTTTCTAAAGTCATCTCTTCAATTTCCTTCCAAAATCATATTTAGACACAAAGCCTTAGGCTAATGAGATTGCCAGCTAGAAAAATGGAAGCACATCTATTGTTTTACAAAAGTGTGTCACTCCATGTGCTATTTGTTAATATTAGTTGAAAAAATATATTTAAGTAAATTTTTTAATAATTATTTATTTTTCTTACCAATCACATCAAATAACACATAGAGTGACATGCTTTTTAGGATATAAAATGTACTCCCTATCTTCATGTTTTTGTGGACACTTTTTAGTGCTTATAGAACCAAAAAAATAGATGCCATATCTTCATGTTTTTTGTGGACAATGCTGCCCTCCAACGATATCCAAATTGCCATGTTTACTCTCTAGCATATCATTCAAAATTTCAAAACAAAAGGCAGCTGGTTGGTTCTCCATGAGAAACGATTATTGGCACAGGTAAAATATAAACGACTGCTCTACTTGAGAAAAGAGTAGCTTTATGTTGAACATTGATGTGTCTAAAACATTGAGATGTATTGCACATCATTATTGTTCAATGTTACCTAATCTTTTTTTTCCTTTTCATAAACAATATCTTATATCCCTAAGACATTAATAAAAGCCATAAAATAAACCTTGAATAGAATGAGAATATTATATACAAATAATCAATAGTAATCTCACTATGAGGAATCACCTACATAGATTGAATTGTGTCATAATATTCTATCATAAGTTATGTTAGGACAACACATTGATCCATAAATCTTTTCGGCATAGGATCTTTCTACTTCTTGCTAAACTTGAACTTAAGGTACTTCTCTTAATTCGACTTATGATAAAATCATATGCTTCTAAAACTTGTCTCAATATTTTTAACTATACTAGGACAATATCATCCCAAAAGCATCACCGATTTTTCTTGGAAATGCTCAATAAACACATCCAAGAACAATGTTGACAAGTAAAGGGTAAAGTTGATGCTTGGTATAGTTATATAACAAAGTAAAACCTTTTTAGATTCGTCTTGTGTTTGCACACTAATCTTGACAAGTAGGAGCTAAATGTTAACCCTTCATATAGGCAATTCAACCACATTTTTTCTCTAAAACTTCAGCAAATACGCGTCTATAGTTATTTTATCATAAAGATAGTAGTAAAGCTATGAAAGTCACTAATGGCTAAATGTTGCTTATACAGTGCAGAGAGCTTCTAACCTCAGTTCTTAATCAAATAGCCAAAACAAGAGAGTATAAATGATCAATACAAGGAAAAAACTCTTCATCTAAAACTGATTTACGTGACAATGATATTTTGGTGAAAGTAAATTAGAAGTTTGAACTTATGATAATAATAAAGATGAAATTTTATGACAGTTTTAGTGTCATGAGTATAATGTGTTTGAACCTTTGTCTTAAAGATAATCTTTGGGAGACGACCTGTAAGTCACTTCCTTGTAGTACATTTTAATTATTATGTTATTTACATCGGATACGACCTCAATCACTTTATCTAACGGTAATAAGGTCTCTACTTCTATCCATGAATAAATTAACCTCACTAAGTCACTAAATTAACCTCCTCAATCACTTTATCTAACGATAATAAGGTCTCTACTTCTATCCATGAATAAATTAACCTCACTAAGTCACTAAAACTGATTGATGTATATGTAAATTTGATCTTAGTTAATAAGTTGCTTAAGAGTTTATAATGCCACTTAATCTTCTCTCAAAATCAGTGCCTTATTTTGCAGAACATTATCAAGAGAGTGATCGGTTCATCTTGGCTTCAACAAGGTTTATTTGTGAAAAACCTTCAACAGCCAAAGCCTTATGTACCATGTTCCCTTTATCAATAGTAATCATACCTCTTTAATGCCTTGCAACATATGCCCTCTTTATAGGAAAAGAAAATTGTCCTTTTTCTAGTAGCAGTAGAGAAAGCTTAAAGGCTTTTCAATTAATACATGCTCTAACATTTGGGAATCTTATTTTGTCCCATCTATTTTAGGAGTTGAGATCTTCTATACCATAATTTCTCTATCTCTTTATACCAAGCTAATGTAATCATGCCAACTAATAGTAGTTATTGTTTCTTGATAAATGATAAAAAATTTATTAGCATAATTTTATTAGTTGGCACGATTTTATTGGTTTGATATAGAGAGATAGATAAATAGTGGTACAGAAGATCTTCACTCCTATTTTAGGCCATAAATATTTCCTAACCTTAGTAGATGATTATATATACTAGATTCACTTGGATAATCATGATGAATACAAAAACATAAACTATACAGCATCTAATCAACCTTGTGTCCTACATTGAGACACAATTTGACACTGGGCTAAAATATTTGAGAAGTGATAATAGTATTGAATTCTTGATGCATCATTTTCTTGCTTCCAAATGAATCATGCACCAAATGAATTCTTTAGAAGCCTCACAAAAAATGAGATTGTTGACAGAAAACAGAACACATCTTAAATGTGGTAAAAACTCTCTACTTTTAATCTCATTTACCCTCCAAGTCTTGGAACTCTGTTACCCAACATGTTGCTCATATCATAAATATACTACCTTCACCCCTTCTTAAAAACAAAATTCCATATCAAACCTTATATCATTAACTGCCCTCTACTAATCACTTCATAATTTTTTGGTTGTTTTGCCTATTCTAACACCATTCAATCTCGCATAACCAAATTTCAAGAAAGAACTCGAAAGATGGCTTCCTTGGCTTCAAGGAAGACACCAATTGTTACATGTTGTATGATCTTACCTTACATAACATTTTCCTTTCCATGCATTACCAAATTCCCAAAACTCTAATCCCATTATTGACTTAGACTCTTCCATTCACAATTCTTTGAATCTCAAATTCTTAACCCTATTGCACCCATCACACATTCTAATAACCCTTCTCCTATCTCAACCAGACAATCTCTCAGAATTAAGAAACCCCATACACATTTGAAGGATTATCACTATAATCTTATTGCATCTCGGCCTAGTCATACCACTTCATCTTTAGAGGTAGCCCTTGTCCTTTACCTTTTTTTCTTAGTTATGTAAATTTCTCTATCTCCTATAGGAATTTACATTTTAATGTTTCTATTGTAGAAGAACCATCTTCTTACAAGCAAGCCTCTACAATCCCTTGTTGCCAAAAAG